TTATCCTTTTCTAAAAATGAACTGGCCAGTGTGGACACAAAGCCAATGTAACTGATCTAAAGATGGAAATTATTAATGACCCACTTGTCAGCAGTAAACACTCCCGCTGCCTGTGTCCCCTATGGCTCTAGTCTGAATAGACTCATTGTCACCCTTCCCAACACCTGATTCTTAGTAGATACCAGGCGGTAAAATTTCATCAAAGCAGCTTCTACAAACCACCTCCTTTTTATTGTTGTTTATTCTAAAAACCTGCCACAAAGACCCCTTTTATATGCATTCTTCTAATAGGGGGCGTGTCTTCACGGTAACTCAAACAAAAAACACTGGTTTTCACAAAGCAACAAAGAAGTACAAGAGAAGCCGAAATCAACACATTTAAAGATTTTTCTTACCCTACAGTACTCAGAATCTAAAGTTGGGTGACTGTTTCTGTGAGCTGCTATCAAGTTGATTCCAACTCCTCCTGGCTCCACGTGTGGAATAGATCTGCTCCCCAGGTTTTTCAAGGCTGTGTAATTTCAGAAGTTGATTGCCAGGACTTTATTCCTAGTTGCACCTGGATGAGATCTAACTGAACCTTTCAGGTGCCAGCAAGCCCCAAACGACATTAAATTATCACAGGTTAGGGCTCTGCTTCTTTCTTCAAAATACAGGGTTTCCCTCTGGTGGCTTAGTGGGAAGGAATTGTGCCACCAACCCAAAGATAAAACGTTCAAATCTACCAACTGCTCGGTGGGAGAAAGATGGACAAACCTCCTCTCTTGTGATTTACTGCATCTGAAAACCAAATGAGCATCTTCTATGAATCATTTTTTTTGGAAGATTTTTAGTTTTATAGCAAACCGTCTATGAATCATTTTTGACTCGATGGTACTCAACACTCAACAAGAACCCAAAGTAGCTTGGCTTGTAGCCTGTGGGCTGTTATAATGATTCTGAGGTGCAATGGAGACCGTCTCTTGATTCTCATAAGAGAATCTGGCCACACTGTCTTCTCTGTAACTCCAGGGTTGGGAGCCTAGCTTACACCTCCACACTCCTGCAGTGTCTGCCTTCTGTGATCCAAAAAGACCGTCAGTCATAGGAGCTGCACTGATAACCCAGAGGCAGCCCGCACTCTTTGGGGGTTCTAATCCACCAGCAACTTTGAAGGAGGAAGAGGGTCTGTCTCCTCTCGTGTGATTTACAGCCTCAGAAAGCCCAGTGGAAGGTCAGCTGTGAGTCAGTTCCTGGTGCAGGACAATGAGTGAGTTCCTTCTAACGCAATGGCGGTGAGTGGAGGGAGAGCCCTCTTCCTGTCCTCGTCACCCCATGCACGTCCTCTGGCTGGTTCTATACTATCAAATACATGAGTGGACAGTGGTGAAATATAAAACCAACATCAAGCTGAACACAAAATTAGGTCTTGACACCTGCTCAGCAGAGCTTGCTATTGTTGTTAGGGACCGTCGAGTTAAGTACGGCCCATTGCGACTCTACGAACAACCCATCTGAACCCTGTCCTATCCTGTGCCATCCTCACACTTCCTGGCAAGTTGGAGCCCACTGCGGCAGTCGCTTTCAATCTACACTGTTTCGAGGCTCTTCCTCTCCTTTGCCAACTCTCCGCCTTTCAAACATCATGTCATGTCCCTCTCTAAGGAACGGCCCCTCTTAGCAACATGCTTGAAGTACGTGCGGCGAAGACTCATCATCTTTGTCTCCAAAGAGCACTCTGGCTGCACCCTCCCCAAGACATCTTTATTTGTTCCTTTGGAAGTCCACAGGATGTTCAGTGCTCTTCTCCAGCACCGCAGCTCAGAGGCACTACTGTCCAGCTCTCAGATGCATAGCAAGTGACTGGAAAGACCACGGCCTGAATCAGACACATCTTAGTCTTCAAACTGACGTCATTGCTCAACAATAATCTGGAGAGGTCCCTAACTGCAGACTTTCCCAGTGCAGTGCGTCTCCTGATTTGCTGACTGCTGGTACCAAGGGTGTTAACTGTGGATCCAAGCAGGATGAAGCTGTTGACATTTTAATCTTTTCACCATCCATCATGATGTTACCTATCGGTCCACTGGTAAGAATCTTTGTTTCCTTGGCAGAAAGATTGCTTAGGAAAGAAAATTTAAGTGCCCTCCCTGGCAAATATGAGCACACAATTTTGTTTTAAATGCTATTTGCCTTCAAATAGCTTTCCACTTTCTTTAAGAAAACTCTGGTGTCCTAGTGGTAAGAAACTGCGTTGCAGTCCCAAAGGCATATGATTCGGATCCACCAGATGCTCTGTGGGATAAGGATGGGCAATCTCTTCCTGTGCGTTTTACCGCCTCTGAAAACCCACTGGAGGGTCAGCTATGGTCAGTTCCGACTCGAAGGCACACAACAACAATTTCTTTAAAGGTAGTCAACATTACCCACTACTATCAAGAGCCCTGGTGACACAGTGGGTTATGTGTTGGACTAGTAACTGAAAGGTCAGAGGTTCAAATCCACCAGCTACTCCAAGGGGAAAAGATGCAACGAGTGGAATGAGTCCACTCCAGTGAAGGTTCTCGGTCTCAGAAACCTCATTGAGGGCTGCAGTCAGTCGGAAACATTCCCCAGCCGAGGAAGTCGGGGTGCAGCGGCTCCGTCGGCAGCTTGTGGGGCTGCCAACTGTAACGCTGAGTGCTGGAAGTCTGGATGCACGAGTGGCTCCAAGAAAGATGCGCTGTCTCCTCTCATTAAGGTTCGCTGCCTCAGCGTGGCGTTTCCTCCCAAAGCCAAACGCAGGAATTCTGTATGATTCGGCTCCTCGACTGCTTGGAAACCCACTCCCCAAGAAAATCAGGACTGAGACACAAACGGAGACTCGTACACCAACGTTCACAGCAGTGTTAGTCATCATTGCAAGAACATGGAGACAAGGGAGCGCTGGTGGCCTAGGAGCAAGAAGCTGCACTGCAATCCCAGAGGTACATGGCTCAAACCCACCAGATGCTCTGCTGGAGAAGGAGGGGCAATTTCCTTCTGTATCAGTCAGATCTGATTTGATGGTACACATAAAAAATAATAAAATTTTATAAAAAGAAATGGGAACAGCCCAAATGTCTAATCACAACTGATTGGATTGAGAAACTGTGGTATATTCACACAATGAAATACCAGACAGCATGCAGGAGCAATGATTTAAAAAATTACTACCAAAAAAAAAAATTACTACCTAACTTGGGAGGGACTGGAGAGCATTAGGCAAAGTGAACTTACTCAGGCCTATAAGGACAAATACTGTATAAGACCATTAAGGTAGAAATAGAAAGATAACTAGTAAAATGGGTATGAGGATGCAAGGGCGGGGGGAGGGTGGGAGCAGAGGGGTGAGGATTGGTGGGAGGAAATCATAGGGTTACTCAACTCAATGGATGGAGGGAGGGAGGGACGGAGGGAGAGAGGGAGGGAGGGAGGGATAAAGGAAATGGGAAAGATTCGGCAGGGATCGGAAAAGACAGGGCAATGATGGGAATATTTTAGTGCTGATTAATTTTACAAAATATAATGAATAGAAGTGATTGTATAAAACACATGTGAATGAAGGCAGTGTAAAAAGGAATGTATACGAACTCTGAAAGCCAACCAGTAGAAAATAAAAATTTATTCTTTAAAAAGACAAGATTTACTGGCTCAGAAACCTTACAGAGGATCCTGGGAGACAGAATCGACCAACGGCAGAGTTTGACTTCAAGGGTCTGATGGGTAATCATCCAGATGCTAACCTCAAGTCTGGAAGTTCAAACCTATCCCACGGCTCCAAAAGGCACTGGCAATCTGCTTCTGTGAAAGACACAGTCAAGAAGACCTATAGGGCGGTGCTCCAGGTAGCCATGAGCCTGAACCAAACAGCATTCACTCTGCAGATGGTTGTTCAGTGCGGGACAGGCGATGGGGGACGAAGGAACCAGGAGGACTGTCGCCTGCCCCTGACCCTGTCAAACTTCTCCTCCAGGTGAGGAGACAAGATGGCTGTGCAAACAGGGCCAGCCACACACGTGTCAGATGTGGCACACCACCCTCCCTGGGCCAAGAGGGGGAATGAGCCAAGCAAGAGAAACAGGTTCTTCTACCCGGGAGTAAGCGAGCCAGCAAGCTCAGAACTCTGCTTTTCTAGAAACAAAAGTGTAAAGCTGAAAATAACCCCCCACGGTGGCCCTGTGGGGCAAAGCAGACCTGGCCCCTAGGATTTGCTCCCCAGGATTTCTGTAACACCTGTACAGAAGCAGGCTGCCCCATCTGTCTCCCTCAGGGTGACTGGCAGAGTCAAAATACTGACCTCTGGGTTTGCACAACTGGCCTTTCCGTCAGCAGCCTGCGCTTTAAAACCTGCCAAGGGGCTCCTGAACAGAAAAACCGCTTCCTGTTTAAGAGGCCTGTCCACATACACACCTGAAAGGTATCTCAAATACTCACGAGGCGGGAACAAAACGTCCAGCAAACCCACTCGTACACAGATCAATTGCCTCTGGATCCAGAAAAAAGGGATTTGAGCAGAAGTTTAGCTAAAGGGGAGTGTGGGGAATGAGGGTCTGAGGGGGGAATCTGGTGGTACCGTGGATGAAGCATCGCATAGCTAACCTGAAAATCAGATGTTCAAACCACCCAGCCACACTGCAGGGAGGACGATGTGGCAGCCAGCTTCTAGAACGGTCTACAGCCTTGGAAACCCTACAGGCAGGGCCCTACAGTCACTGCGGCCTGGAATCAATTCTAAAGGGGTGCGTTTGTGCGTGTGCATGGGCGTGTGCGTGTGTTCTGGATAAATAATGAGTCACAATAACTAATCATCTCCGCTGACTTCTAAACCCTGGCAGGTCCCGGTGTGTCCAACAAGAACAGTGACCCACAGGACATTGAGCAGCTGCAGTTTCACAAGCAGCCAGCCAGCCCTGTCTCCCAGCGTGCCTCTGCATGGACTTGAACCTGTCACCTTTTGCTTCACGGCTTAGGGGAACAGATCTACTGTCGCACCAACCTACACCTGACAGCACAGAATTCCACCATCCCCGCCTTCCTGCGCTCTGCAGACGGACCGTAGTGAGGCCCGGTATAGGCACCGTACCAGCCGTACACCGAGACCATGAACACGGGGTCATCATCTTGGGCTACTTTCGCTCACCACGTGCTGTCAACAGTCACATCCCGGCCGCTAACTGAATGGTTGGAGGTTTAAGTCGACCCAGAGGCGACTCATACGACAGACCTGGAGACGTCCTTCCAGCCCAGTTCTCAGATGCAGGCGTCTGTGTGTGAGCTTCACTCCACAGCAAAGGTTTTAACCTGTGGGCTCTGCCACACAACACGCAAAGTGGCCGTGGACGGGCTGGTTCGTCCACGGTGGGCTTCTGGGCTGGCCACGCCTTTCAGCTGTGGCAAAAACAGGATGCCTATCACAGGACACACATCTACACACATACACTACTGACAACAGACAGGCAAGCCAGGCCTTCCTCCAGCCACACAGCTTAAAGACCCAGCTGAGGGTCCGGGAGGCAAAACCCTGGCCCTGTCCACACCTGCTCCCCAGTTTTGGCCACACTGCCCCCACCCCAACCATGTCTGTCCCCCACCCCAGCCCCTGTCCATGCCTGGCCCCCTAGCCCTGGCCACAGCTGCCCCCGCAGCCCTGGCCAAGATGCTCCCACCCCTGTCTGTCCCCAACTCCAGCTCTGGCCATGGCTGCTGCCCTGGCCCTATCCACATCTGTCCCCCGCTGGCCCTGTCCATGCCTGCCTCCCTAGCCCTGGACACAGCTGCCCCCCCAGTTCTAGCCACGCTGCCCCCGCCCCATCCACATCTGTCTCCCACCCCGGCCTTGTCCACGTCTGTCCCCTCAGCGTTGTCCATGCCTGCTCTCCTAGTCCTGGCCACAGCTGCCCCCAGTTGTAGCCACGCTGTCCCCACCCCTGTCTAGGTCTTTCCCCCCCAGCCCTACCCATGCCTATCCCCCCCAGCCCTGGCCACACTGCCCCCACCCTGTCGATGTCTGTCCACTACCCCAGTCCTGGCCACAGCTGCTCCCCCAGCCCTGGCCCTGGCTGCCCCCTCCTCAACCATGACCACAAGCTGCCTCCCAGCTCTGGACACTGCTGACCCCTCCTCGACCATGACCACAGCTGCCTCCTCCAGCCCTGGCCACTGCTGACCCTCCAGCCATGACCACAGATGCCCCACCTCCCAGCCTTGGCCATGGCTGCCCGTCCCCAGCACTGGCCATGGCTGCGGGGTTTGGTATAAAGAAAAACTAGCCTGCCCCCGGGTACAGAACCAGCCTTCCCCAACAGCCCCGCCCAAGAGCAGTGTGGACACCCCCGCACTTCTGTAACACCGAGTCCAGTGCTGGCCCAGATGGTGACGCCCAAACTACAGGGCCTGTAAATCGCTCTCATCAACACACTCTCACCAGTAATTACAGCAGGAGCTTTGGAGCCCGTGATAAAGAGTTGTTTAATAACAGTGCTTCTCACCTCTCCAGCTTCCGATCGTCAATGAACTTGACAAACTTCCCCTCTCGGACTAAAACACAGTGACCCTTCTAGATCTCAGAATGGGAGACCACCGACTAGCCAAGCGGAAAGAAGCCACTGCCAACCCTTCCCCTCTTTCTTCTTGAAATCAACACCCTGATCCTACAACCCGATGACTAGGGGTCAGTTCAGCTGGTGCTGTTTTTACCCCTGAGACACGGGTGCTGAAAGCCAACACCAGCAGACAGAACGTGGACAGAAACCACTTTATCTGCTAAGACAAACCGGCCATTGGAAAGGAACATGAGGTACCATCCCTCACACTCAACACCTAGAGATCTGTAAAATCTTACACGTCCACTTTGTAATTTCATAATTTTGATGATGTTCTTATACTCACTCCTTTAAAAAATAAAAGAAAGAAGTCTTCACACAGACGAAGGCTTATAAAAGCAGCAGAGATACTAAATTGAGAAAATAACTGTTTCAGGGGGTAAGACTTTGCTGCCAATGTCCAGCGGACCTGCCCTTAGGTTGCCGTAAGACTTTTAACCAAGGAGAGAAATTAAACAATCAGGCGAAAGCAGTTGCCATCTGAAAGTTCAGTGTGACATAGTCTAATTCTTTTAGACTTTTTTCCCCATTTAGGAAATCATAGGTATTTGTTTTCATGCATTTTGACAAGGCCTAAGACATTTTCTTAATATGCTCTTCTGACCAGTGGCAGGTTCTGTCCACCCCATCCCACTAGCAAGGAGCGTGCAGCTAACCCAAGGCCGAGCCCTCTCCACAGGTTCAACTCCAGCAGCCGCTCCATAAGAGAAAGACAGGCAAGCTCCTCCTGTGAAGTCTGCGGCCTTGGAAACCCAAAGGGGTGTTGGCATGAGTCGGTTCTGACTTGACGTAAAGAGAAGGGTTTAATCTCAACACAGCTATAAAAACCTAGAGCAGATCTTGCATGCAAAATGAAACACGGACAGGAAGAGGAGAGTGCCCCAGCTCAAAGACCAGGAGACTTCTTCCTTTTGACATCACGTCAAGCATCTGGAATCCTGGATTGTCACATCCAAATCTGTCCACAGGAGCTTCGGCGAACACAGCTCTGTGTTACAGCTCCTTCCGGCAGATCTTCCAAATTCACAAATATTAGAAGGACCTAGAGCAGGACCCTGGCACGATGAGGCTTCCAGGAGGGCCCCTGCCCAGCCTGAGGACAAACAGGACATAACCTTCCACACGTCTGCTGTTCTCGTTCTCTCACACCCCAAGAGAGGAATCTCAGACATTCCGAATGCTTAAAACTCTGAACTGCAATGGGAGGCAAGGGGCCACAAGGCTTCGCCTCAAAGTCTTCCTTTCCCTGAGGGTCAGGGGCCCGGGAGGGGGGAAATCGACAGTCAGTCATGGCTTTGCTTTTAAAAAATCATCCTGAACACTGGCTTGGGACAGTACCAAAAGGTCAGAGAGCTCAAGAGGGATCACTGCGGAATCTCTTCTGGGGGGGACCCTGGTATTAAGGACACAGGGCTTTGTCACTATGATTGTGTGTGTCTTGCAGAAACTTAGTTTTGCTTTCTCTCTTAGTTCAGAAAGACATCTTATCTAAAACATAGACAAGGATCTCCAACCCTACAAGTCTAGTCGGTTTTTATGAAAATGCAGCTGGTTACTCATCCTGCCATCTAAAAACCTGGAACAGCACGTCAGCGGAGAACAGCCACACGTGCGGGCTGGGTTTAGCAGAGGCCGTGGCACTAGGGACATGATAGCCAATGTCGGATGGATCTTAGCTGAAAGCAGGGAGTATCAGAGGAAAGTGTATCTGTAAGATGTATATAAATACAGGAAAGGGGAAGGAGGTGGAAAACAGTGGAAACCACTAGGAGAGGAGATGAGGGCTAGCCTGTGAAAGTACAGAAAAGATGCCATGGGGACTTGAAAAGATGGTGTAATAAAAGGCACAGATCAATAGTAATTAATTTTATAAAACACAAAGTATATGAAGATTGTATAAACACAATGTGAATGAAAAATTGTGTGAAAAACAATACACAGGGAAGAAACAATGTATACAAATCATGTTCGTCAACCAGGATAACATTTTTTAAGAAGTAGGTAGTGCCAAAAAAAAAGTTCTCTGAAGTCCCTCTCTGCTCTCAGGCCCTGTGCAGCCACCAGCTAAGGAGATGAAAGCCCAGGCCCTGCCTCCTCTGAGAGCTGACAGCTTGTTCAGGAATCCTCTGCAGAACCCAAGCTGCAGCTGAACGTGTCTTACCTTGAATGACAGACAGCAAACCAGTGGCTCAGAGGCCAGCATGGAGACAGCTGGACAGACCCTGGCAGGTCCAGCAAAGGGAAAAGAGCTGCCAGCTCTCACACACGCAGGCAATGACAGAAAAGCCAGGCACGCCCAGCACTGTAAACTCTCCCACTGCCGAAATGTACGTCCACTGAAATCTGAAAAGATGAAAGATTTCCAAAACCCTTAAGTTACGAAAATCGTGTCTATGGTAATTGTTGTAATCGTCGTTGACTGTCTTCAGGGCACATTTATTTCGTTATCCCCCGAAACAGAAGTGAAACACTAATTGTGTCTTAAAATGAAACCAGTGAAACGGAGCACATCTCTCCCCAGACGTGAAACATGTGAAGCACTGGATCTCCGGGCTTCAGAATCAGCAAGGGGGCAGCTGGATTTGGGATTCCACATTTCTAAGAAAACAGTCTGCATCGGTCTGAGAAGGGAATCACTTGGTTAAAACTGTGTGGGATGATTTCTCTTTGCAACATGGTAGGACTGGGGTGACCTCACCTCCCACAGGGCCATCAAAACCCCCAGGACTGCCCAGGAGCTTACAGCTAAGTGACTGCTACAGGTTACAAAGGGGAAAGAGGAGTGGGAGGGGCAGGAGATGGGAAGGGGGCCCAGCAGCCAGGGAGGCAATGGGGTTTTCTGGGCTCCATCCTCCTCTCTGTCAAGTTAAAAAAAAAAAGTGCAACATTTCTAGACTGGGGTTCAGAGGGTGGGTGACTTTGATTTATGAAGCCTCACCCCCTCTCCCTCTGTAAAGCTGTTAGTGGAAAGTGCTGACTGGCTCCAAGCAGGAATTTCTCATCAATGCCTTTTGATTGTATTTTGCAAACAAAATGCCGGTTGCTTGGTAGCATTTCACTTGAGCCTGACCTTCCCTGAAAGTTATTGCTATCAGATTCGATTTACACTGTCCGCCCGCGATTACTGTAATCTTTTACAGCCGGGGGTTCATCCATCAAGGGGAAGAAAAGTTGGTTGTGTGAGCAGAGAGCATGGTCATCCACCAGATTTATAACCAGGGAGGGAGTTGGGGCGCTTTCCAGCACAGCCAGGGAACTTTCTAGGCCTCCAAAGTGCTCTCCCTTCTGCCCACCCTGCCCCTGGGGACCCCCTGGACGCCCACCTGTGCATCTCTGATGTCTCCCCACTGTCACGGTCATGCTGGTACTCTGTGAAGTATGGAGAGAAGCTGGGAGATACCCCCTGCCCCAGCCCAGAGATGCCCTGAGAAGAGGTGGCAATTGTGACTGCAGATCTTGGGGGACAGGAAAGTGGGGGGTTCCAGGTTACCAGCTGAGGTT